CTGGATGACAAAGAAATCTTGAATCTTGTAACTATACATGTGAAATTTTATGGATAATATAGTGTTTTCTAGATTTCTCATAGTATCCTACCTTTTTTTTAACAAAGTCATAGATCCTACAATTTGTCTTACCCCCAAATCCCACATCCTCCGCCCTGCTCCGTTCCAGACCTCCTGCGCAAAGCGAAGCCTACAGCCTCTGCGGTTCCTCCCATCTTGCTCTGCTCCGACTACTTTTGGAGCTCGAGGAGAGCATGCGTGATAATGTTCAATTTGTAGGAGCAAAGCTTGCGGTAACAAACGCTTAATTTTACATTACTTAATTAAAACTCACCATCAGCATCAATCACATGTTTCTGCCCAAATATTTTCTTTTTGTTGTGTGTCTTGCAATAGAGATAATTAGGATCATGGAAAATTGCTTTTTTCTCTTTTTCCAAGCATCTCTTAATCCATGCCTGCAAGTTGTGAGAGGCACTCTTGGAAGTTGTTGTGGCTGGATTTGGTGAAACATTTAAGCCACTCAGTATAATAAATAGGCTATTTTGATCAATGTGAGAGGCAGAGAGGCAGAGGTGAATCTGTTGTGGATTTAATTTAAAAAAACTTGACAGAAAACAGAGGCTGGTTATCCAAAAATCCAAGGAAAACAAAACAAGAAACCAGAAGTCCAGAAATCCAAAAAAAAAAAAAAAAAAAATGAAAACAAGTCTAACGTACCAGAAACCTTGGGGAAAATCGGGGGAATCACAAACATGACGAGGTGGGCACAGGGAGAAGGAGTTGGAGCAAGCAGACGGTGTTTGACGAGGATCCAGCAAACAGGAACTGAAAAGGGAGGCTTTTAAAGGGGACAGAGACAAAGAGAGGGCTAACGAGGGGATTGAAAACAGTTGAGGGCAGAGCAGAAAACAGAGCTAGGGAAAGAGGACACAAGAGGGTAGCAGAGGACAACAAATGGAAAACCAAGACTGTGACAGAAGTACCAATAGTTTGCATCCAGTAATTTAATTAAACGGTCTTAGTTTTTTTGGGAATATATAAGAATTATGCTCTAATTTGTAGTTGCCAATCTGCCGTAACCCTATTTTAATTTGACAACCGGATCTTCTCAGCGTTCTTTCTCCTGTTTGGTGCGATTGCAATTACGGATCTTGACCTGGCAAAAAATAGCTTGGCTGTGTATTTTAATGGTGAAGGATGAAGAAAACGTATGTGGACAGGGATGTCTGGAGGAGTAGTAAAGGTGTGTGTAAGCAAAAACGTATCCTAAAGAGGTTAAGGACAAATTATATATGTGCCCTATCCCTGCCCTTCAAAAAGTCTCTTCACGCCACTGCACTTATCCAGTCTTGAAAATTCCACTGTAGGGTCCTGCTCTGAGATGGTGGGTTAGTACACCAAATCCCGCCATCTTTCACCCGAGGTGACTCCGGAGTTAAAAGTCCCGTTGCAGGGGAGATTGGTTCTATAGAAAATGCGTGCTAAAGAAGAGGCTGTCTTTATCGCTCCAGCACCTGTCAATCTCCCTGAAAACCCATCTCCCTCCCAATCTTCAAGATGGACGATTCTCCAATGATTTTCTGAGCCTCTATTGTCTGTTTTAGTGCATGCAGATCAGTCCACTTAGCAGTCTGCTTTACATTAACGCTCATCAGTGTTGCACTTTGCTGAAAATCATTTAAATCTTGGTCCACTTTGAATGTATATTTTTTCACACTTTAATGGATTTTTAAATATTTAAATCATTGGCACTTTTTTGCTAAAAATAAAAAAACCAATAGACTTGTAGAATGATTTTTTTGTTGGGTGAAAATGCATATATAATGCATAGCAGTGTATTGTTTCAGTTGAAGTGCTTTATATGAGTGTCACAGCAGTGTTTTAATCAATGTTGTTTAATCAATTTCACTCACACCCTTGGAATGCAGCTCGCATACTGCAGACTTTCTTACCTAGAAAATGTAGGAATCTAGGAAACCCTCCAGTAAACTTTCTCTTCCATCTGGAAAATCCCTCAGCACATATGGTGTTTATGCATGATGAAAAGGGGCATTGGGACAAGCTAATAGGAATCTGATGTTTAATCAGTTTGAAGAGTACTTAGTTCTTCTGCACTAAAAAGGGGAACAAATTGTAGTTAAAAACAAAGTCCATCCACAAATACTAAAGAACAACTTTTGATTAACAGAGAAAACAAGGTTTTATTCTGTATTCAGTGGGTATCCTTGAATGCCTCATCAGTTTTATACTGATTTCAAGCATCGCTATTTAACCTTAGCTTTGGCCCTGTCTGTTTTTGCACATTTCAATAGACGACTTGTCTAATATGTGTTATTCTAACAAATAATGTGCCTAATATACCACATGTTGGAACCATGATTTTAATTGTACCTGTCTGGTGTTTTATTACAACTAAACCACCAATTCAAGTCGAAAAGTCCTTTAGATCAGTCAGCTATTAGTAGCTTGTTTTTGGATCAGAGGCTGTAGAGGCTTAACTTAACTTTTAACTTTTTCATCTGAAAGAGACTTAGGTTTTGAAGAAAAAAATAACCATGGTGACATTTTTTTTTAACGTCACAACTTCAACTTTTTGGGAAGAGCTACAGTTTAAAAATCACATTCAGACACTTGAGTTGATGCCTTGATGATATGTTCTCTTTTTTTCATGGCTTTTTATTGACAAACCAAAATAAGGTGTCACAAGAGACGAGTAAATGAAATGGAAAATGTGAACATTGGCTGCCTTTTAATAATATAATTCTATGCAAAATTAGTTCAGATTTTTCTGTCATTGTTTTGTCAACAAGCACTCAAGATACTGATAATTATACCTTATATGGCTTTCACATGCAGTCCTATTGTACAAAATTCTCTCTGTTATTTGTGTGTTTGAGAGAGCTGCTATTTGCATGTAATTTTCAGGATTAGATGTCTCGTTCTGGTTTACCCTTCATTTACTCTCCCTGCCTTCAGCTGGGCCTACTCAGACTCAACAGCCATCCAGATGGAAAAGTGTGTGTAAACACTACACAACGTTGATTTTGTGATGCATGTGTTGCGTTCAGCAATCCATATCTGCAGAACGTGTGCCTATCCCTAGTTGTATAGAAGCTGTAGGGGGAGTGTTAGCCTAGTGGTTAGAGCAGTGTGCTTGTGCTCTGAATAGGTTTGGATCAATGATCAAGACCCTCAACCCCACACTGCTTCCCAGGTGCCGCACAATGGCAGGCCAGTGTTCTCCAAAGGGGATGAGTTAAATGCAGAAGTAAATATATATGTGGTATACATATATTTGCATATATAAGTTTATATATGTGTATTTATTTATATATATATGTGTGTGTGTGTGTGTGTGTGTGTGTATATATATATATATATATATATATATATATATATATATATAGTGTGTGTGTATATATGTATACAGTATATATGTATTTAGATGGATACCGCTAGTGACTAGTCTGACATACCAACACTGCCGCAGTGCCTTATGTAATCTAAGTGACGCGCACCCTCAGCACTATTATCTGGTCTCATGCTGCCAAGTTGATGGCTGAATGATATTAAGGACAGGTAGTTTCTTTCATTAACATGCACAGCGGTCCCTTAATGTCTTCTTTGTTTACTCTCTTTCAGAGTTTTACCTCTTTGCCCTACCAACTCAACCTAACTTCATTTTACTTTTATTTTTAGCTCCTTTTTAATATTCCTGAAAACTTCCCTGCTGTTTTTACTCATTTTTTAAAATCTTTTTTCTTTGTTGCGCCAACATATTTACACCGACTTGCATTGTCTGTCTTGAGATCCTCTTATTTGCTGTTTTTACCCCCTTGTTCTTTGAAATCTTCTTTTCTAACTTAACATCAAGTCTAATTAGGATTGTGGCACATATGATTCACATCTTGTTTTTTGTACTCTGATTACACTTTAATCATGAGATTACTTATGAATTGTCTCTGGTTCTAACTTTGATTAATCTAAACAGTAATCAAATAAATGCAAACATCATATGCTGAGGCTGAAAAAATTTGTTTTTATCCCCAGAAACATATTAAACCTCACTTCAAGAATAGGGATATATCCAAAACACCAACTATTGCAATAAGATGAGACTTGAAAATATCTTTGCTAAAACCATAAACAGGCTATAGAGCTAAGCTATTACCCATTTAGTTTCTTTTATTACACTGAAATATGAATTTAGTTGCAATTATACTGGTGTAAAAACCATTGGGGGTTCTAGACAGGAGAAAACAGGGGCCACTTACCCTGTACAACTTGTCCCAATCCTGTTGTGGCCCCTGTGCTGAAGATATAATAATGAAAATATTCTAATGATGATAGGCACTGGAACGGACATAGTAAACGATAGGTCCCTTGGAAGCATTTCATTTTCTTTCTTACAATTCTGTTTTAGTTGTTATTTATAAATTAAGGTAATAACTTCAGCCATGTTGTGATTGAATCCAATTTTTCATCTTCTAAATTTGAATTTGAACAAACCTCAAATATTAATATAAAAAAGGATAAACTGCTTGCTTTGCCATAACATTAAAAGTTATCTCAGTTATCACAGATTTTTACTAGTAAAAAGCATTTTACAAAGTATCCCATGCCCATTAATAAACCAAGATATGCTATTCTGACCTATTGGGGGGGGTTTAAAAATCTTAATTTAGTGCTTAATAAAGTCAAATTCTTTCCTAGATATTTTAAGTGTTTAACTCTTACTGACTCTTAAAACTTGACTGATAATGTAATTCTGTTCATTTCTTGAAACTTCATTCAATTTTATGCAACATTTGTTGGTGCAGATGTTTTATCCAGATGTTCGTTAAAAACAAAGATTTGGCTTGATTTTAAATTTATTTGGGTTTTCCTTTTAACTGAGCAGAATATGCTGAATTTATTTTACAACTTTTCAGACATATCTGTCATTTTAATCATTGCTTTGTCAGGTTATTTAACTGTTGTTCTCTTTGTCTCTGCAGGACTGGGTTTTCCTCACTCGTTTTTGCTTTCTCACCGAGTTCGGGAGGCTGGATTTTCGATTTCGCTATCCGAAGGTAAGACTGCTAATAAAATGTGGAATGTGCAAGTCAAACTTGAATGAGGGGTACCTGACTTTAAATCCCTGTTGTGACGGGAATGACATCTGATTTAAAAAGAATCGCTAGGTCTGTAAGCAAACTTAAAAACTTGCTTTGGAAACCTCTGAATATGGAAGCAGCTAAAAGGACAGAGACATTTAGAGTTTTTTCTTTTTTTAACTTGTTTGAAAAAAACATTTAATGTTGTCATAGAGCTGTACAAAACTATTTCCACCTGGGGATACTCGCATAAAGAAAAATCAGTAATTTTTACTGTAATGAAGAAACTAATAAGTCATTCGTGCTCAGGTGCCAGCAGAATACTTAAACGCTGAAAGTAGTTCTGCGTAACTAGATAAGTCTAGGTTACAGATTCTATCCGCCCTGAGTTTATTGAAAGCCGCAGTGCTCAGCTCTTCTGCTTTAACCTGCGTGGCTACCTGCTGCTTATGAGCTTTATAATACACAGTCAATGTGATATCATGAAATACTAAAATTTAAGACATTTGCTGGGACAGATTTTGCAGGGTACAGGTAGTCCAAAACTGGGATGTTTCCTCACCTTATGGTGGCCACTAATTGTTCTGCTAAAAATGTACGCTGTAGGAGGTTAGCCCACCATGGAGCACAGCCTGCAGATGCAGACACAGGCTCCATGTCTGTGGGGAACATTGCCAGTGTGTTGAAAACACTACAATCATAGACTTTAATGTATATTGAAATCCCTGAAATGCTTTCAAAAGTTATATCAGAGTTATTGAAGAAGATTATATCACAATATGTATATATATATATATATATATATATATATATATATATATATATATATATATTGTCCAGCCCAAGGCCACAGATTGTGGTGGAACATCTGTTGGCTGTTAGTTCTGCTGAAAACAGGCTGAGTTTAAATACAAAAGTTTAGCATTTTAAAACCTCTGAAATAGTTTTTTTTAAAGCATGGATTCATATCTTCAACGCGCACATTTTACATTAAAATGAAAATTATTATTTTTTTCTCTCAGAAATAGTTTTTTTTCCCCTGTTTGTGCCGTGCCAAATTGTTACCTAATTTTCCATAATGCCTCACAAATGTTCCAAAGCATACAATGATTTGAACTGCTGAAATTATAGCCAAGGCTTCTTTTGGTTGAGCTGATGGTTGAAAAATGTGCTTTTAACTATATTTCAATCTGAAAAACTCACACGAAGAGAGAAGACAATTAGAAGAAATGTATTGATACAATTACTTTGTCTTTGGCGCTCAGACCTCGGCAAGAAACATAGCATTTAATTTTGATAGATATGCATGAACAGGAGCAAAGAATAGGGCTGTTTCCCCCCAGGCCTGAAACTGGTGGTGGAGTGGAGATAGATGAAGTTGGTCAGTCTGTAGACTGCTGATTAGCGAGACGGTATGCTGAGCTTTATGGCGAGATCCAGTGGACTGCATGAGCTGATGCTAGAGCTTCACTCCGGGACCTGGAAGATGGAAGGCCAGTTTGGATAACACAAGTTGAAAAAAACCTGTCCATGATGAGCAAGCATGGAGTGACAGTGGAGAGGAAAAACTCCCCGTTGGGAAGAAACCTCTGGAAGATCCAGGCTCAACATGGGGGTCTTCTGGCGGACCGGTTAAGATGAGACAGGGAACGCATTAAGAGTCCGGGAGGAATGACACTTTGATGAAGCTCTAGCTACGAAGGTGGAGGAGGGGCAGCACATCTGCCGCCCGTACACAGGAGCAGACAAGAGCGTATTGGAGGCATTTTAAGATGAACTTTGGATGACGATTGGCTTTCCTGGAGAGCTGATTGGCTGTTTCGCAGGTGGATGAGTCTGATGTTGGTGGAAAGATGGAGGCTGGAGAAGCAGGGGAGCTGTAGGGAGTCCATTGGTATGAAGGGATGGAGAAGGGATGCAGTGTAGCAGGAAGCGAGGAAGCAAGGATGTCTCGGAAGGAAGGTGACTGGCTTATGAGGCGATCAGTTGTTCTGATAGGCTGGAGCAGAGTGTCATGATAAGATTGGTTGCAAGTGAGCCTTCCAGATTGAATTTACAGGAAGTGTTAATTTGTATTATAATCGAATGCAGAGAAACAAAATATATATAAAACATTGTAAACATGTCAAACTATCAACAAAAGAAGTTTTCAAGGTTGAAAAGAAATAAATGTTTCAGTCATGAGCTCTAATTAAGCTATTCTTGTAGGCTACAACATTTTTGCACAATATATGTGAACAGCACAGCTCGGCTAAGCCCCTTCAGGAGTGTTTCTTTAAAGACCTAAATATAACAGGCCGTGGCTGAACCATGAACAATTCTACCCTGAAACCTTTTGAGTTAGTTATAGATTCTGACAGACTGGAGTCTTAGCTTTCCAATGACGTCAAACGTGGAAATAAAAATGATAAGAGAAAATAACAAGAATAAAGGCCACTATTGCCTAAAAATGATCTAATAAATGTTGTCATCATACAATTAAAGGAGGAATGTACATAGCGCAAATTGAGGAGAAATCAGCCTTGGAAGATTTGTTACATCTACACTAGAAGCCTGCTAGGCTGTAACAAAATCAGTTCATTTGAATTACTTTGTATAGCTTGCTGCATACCTTCCCCAAAACCTCCCACAACATCCTTGGCCAACCAAGAGATTCACAAACTTTTGGTTGACTGAAGTTAAAGACAGTCAAATACAAACTCACCATCGTTAATAGAGCTGCCACTAAACAACTAATCTTTCGACAAAATTTTTGATTAGTCGACTAATCTTAACGACTCTTCTCCAAAATAATCAAAGGAATGGAATTTCATTTGAGTTTTTTATTTTTTTATTTTGAACCTATTTTTATGTTGACCTTTGCAACTCAATGGCCAAAACCTAAAATATGTCTTGTAGCACTACTGGTGGTTGGCAGAGTAGCCGTGGGATAATGATGCCAATTTAAAAAAAGTCACATTCGTACAGTGTCTGCGTGTGCTTATTCAATAAACCCTCTGTCTCGAGTCAGGTGCCTTCTCAAAGGCACAAAAATTACTATAAATGCGTCTGCACAGCGTTGTTTAACGCTTAACAAAACATTACCAAATAGTTGAGGGGGCCTGCCCTACATCCACAGACAGTCAGTCATTTTAAGGTGCTCATGCATCGCGGTTGTGCTCCCCCGAAAAGCCAACGAAGACTAACAGAGTTTGCACACCACTCTAAAACCAGCTCCATCATTGATTCAGACCCAGCTGTTGCCATTTTAGTATCACCCTCAAAACCATAACCAACAGAAATGGAAGCTTGTGACAGTAGAGGAAAATGGAGCCAATTTGTCAGTGGTGTGGGCAAAGCACAACTAGTGCATGGGAGAGGAATTACCTGAGCTCAGATGAGTCATTTGCTCAAACCAAAATAAGTAGGCGA